AGTCACTTTGGAGAGCAATTTTGTAATGTCTGATAAGGTTTAAAGACGTACTTACCCTGTGACCCAGCAATTGCATTCTAAAATGTCTTCACATGCTTAAAACATCATATACAAAGAAAATGATTGTAGTGCCTATTACAGGAAAAAAATTGGAGGTAAACCCAAGTGTCCTTTATTAGGAAAAAGAGTAACTTCTATTTATACTGTGGATATTATACAGCATTTTAAATAAGTGAATCAAATTTACGAGTCTAACCTGGGTAAATTTTATAATCATTTTATTGGGTAAAAAGAAAAGAGGTTACCAGGCAATATCTACTCTTCTCATTACGGTAAATTTTAAAGTGCACGTCAGTGTCAAGTGTGCATTCACGTACATACACGTTGGGCAATAAAAGTATAAGGACCTGGATGGGGAGAATATGAAACAACCCGACAGTGGTGAGAGGGAGAGAGGGAAATAGGATCAGGGAGGCATTAAAGGGACCTTTCTTATGTGTGTTATATTTTCCTTATTTAAAAACAAAACAAAAAAACAGATAAGGCCAGATGTTAAAAGAGTAGTGGTGCATGTATTTGTAATTTCCTGTACTCTTCTGTGGTTTTGAAATACGTTGTTGAACAATAGTGCTTAGGGGTCCATGGCACTCTCTGCGGAGGGGCTATGATTGCCTGTGTCCTTGACCTTTCTGCTGCCATTTTCATTGTAGACCTCCGACTGGTCACATGGCTGAGGGGGTAGAGGAAGGCCGAATGAGCTTTAGTATGAATGAGCTTTAGTATCTCGTCCACTTTGACATTAAGTTATTTCAAGATCGTCAGGAGGTGATCGATCATTGTCCTGGGCACGTTCCTACATGTCCAGCACGCTCCTGACGCGGGAGCAGAGTGAGCGAGTCCTCTGTGTGTATCACACACCCTCCAGTGCCCGCAGGCAGATGGGAAGCCTAAACGTACCAGTTTTGTAGTGTTTTCTGAGTCTCCTTGAAAACAGCATTTTTATGTTACAAGATGCCCCCGAACTAATACAGTAGGTAGATGTGGGGAAGAGTTATTTTGAGAGCCATAATTTGACTCAGTTATCCGAGGCAATCAAAGATTGTTTAACACCAGAAATAGCTGACTAGAGCAGCTGCTAAAACAGCACTTCGTGTGGGAAATGATAAAAAGTTCAGTATTTTGACAGCCATTTCAGAGGAATGAGTAATAAAACTTCTAAGAAAATCTTGATTGCTGGGTTGGTTTTTTGCGGGGGGGAGTGGAGGGGGGCATTGGATTCTCTGGCTCAGATGTCCCATCTTCCAGGATTCTGTATGGATGGGGGCTATGGGAAGAATATTTCCCCTCTCCCAGAGTCGTGGCTCTTCGTATCCATAGAGCTTGAGCAGCACAGTGATGACTTCTGCAGGTTTTCGAAAACTAGCAAACTCATCCGTGGATCAAACGTGTGTTCAGGGCTTACTGTGTGTGCTCCAAGCAAAGTCCAGGACCCAGGAGTCAGAGTCAGCGTCCACCCTAAGAGGTCCTGTGGAAAGAGGCAAAATGTACAAGCAATTTTAAATAAATTCAATAGGTACTACAGAAGCAGAACTTGGAGGGGAGGAGGGATAGAAGGAGAGGTATTAAATACATGGGAGTTTGTCATTTCAGGCAGTGGGAAGTGAGAATTGACCGATAAACACGACATTCCGAATAGAGGGAAAATTCTGGTCAGTGTTACAGAGGGAAAGGGCACATCTGGGTTAATGTGGAAGAAAACTGTGTGAACTGATTTGGCAGGCCAACTGCGTACCCCGATTCACAGTATTACTTTCTGTCTGAATATCTAGTACCTTCAGTTTTCAAAGAATTTTCACAACAGTTTTCTAATTGTGCGTTCTCCTCATGCGAGTGTTACAATATCATACTGTCTGTGGTTTAAAATATTTTCAGCATGGACCCTCTGGTTGGTATGAAAAACTGTTTGTTTTCATCTAAATCTTAGTGGAAGCTGGTGGTGCCAGTTGTAAATTCACACTCGGCGTTGATGAGCTGGTGTCCCATCAGAAGCCCTCACTCTGGGGGGTCTTCTTTAAACAGCTCAGTTTTCTTTGTCCCTGGGTGACACTGGAGATTTTGTTACGTAGGATAATGAGTATTGGAGATGGTTTTTCAGTTGGGGACCTCTGTGGTGGTCAAGATGAGTGGATCAGGTTGAACCTTTCCGGAGTCTCTCTCTACTGTGTCTTACAGGGTATAGAAGTCTAGGGAGACATGAAGGATGGGGAAACTGAGGCTCAGGGAGGCTGGCTGTGAGAGTGGGGTGGTGGCATGAAGTATTCCAGAACTGGGACCGCTTCTGTTGGCTGCTCTGCCCAGTGAGCTGTGGTTGCCCTCAAAAGAAGCTTTATCTGTGATGACACTCTTCTAGAGGCTCATTGAACCATGTGGGCTGATCCTTGACTGAATTCCCTAAGCCCAGAATGAAGTATGTGTTCCTTAGAACCAACGTATGTGACCTTTCCAGTATTGTGGGGATTTCATTTCTTCTTTTGATTCAAGAAGAGTGTAGTATTACAAACACTCAGTGACAAATGATGTGCTTGTATTTCTAGTTAACATTGGAGGTAATCCAGCTTAGCCGGCACTCTTTTCTGCTTTTCCTGTTAATGTACTCTTCCATCTGCAGATAAAAGTAATTATCTGAAAAGTAATTAGAAGCCTTTGCAGTAAATCCACACCACGGTAGAGAAAACAAAAATGCGTACATGTGTGGCATTATGTGGAAGTTTACCCCTTGGAAGACTACAGGCCATATTGTATTTCGTACAGGCCAGATCTAACAAATGAATTAATTTCCACTTGAGTGAAAGTTTTTTTCCTGGTGTGTTCAGATCGGCTATGATCACTGTGGTTTGGAGTAAACCCAGATGGGTTCCTGTCCTTGGACAAAGACCAAGGACAACTGTAGGACTTGCCCATGGTTAAACCTTCCGTAGGGCTTCTTGATGAATAACGCCAGTTCAGGAAGGCAAGTGCTATGATGATCCCTTTACAACTGAACCAGTCAAAGCAACAGGAAGTGAAGTGGCGTGTCCACACCACAGAACTGGTTATTACAGAGTCAGAGCCAGAACTGAGCTCGCCTGAACTCAGCGATCTAGTTCTTTCCATGACCCAAGGCTGCCAGGGCAGAAGGAAGTGAATTTCACTGGTATCGCACACATCAAGGTATGATATGGTGATATGGTCGGACCCAAAACCACAAGACATTGTTACAAGACAACACTTCAAGAGATACTTGTGGTGACAGTTTCAGAAGGGTTCAGATTCGGCAGAACTTCATGAAAATCCTGTTGTGAGCCAGGCGCTGGGCTTTGTACTTCCCAGGATGCTGCTTATTTTCAGCATGAGCTGAGCAAGGGAGCCTGGGGACGGTTAGCCTCCCCTCTCAGCCTCAAGCACTATCAGCAGTATCCCAAACCATTTTTAATAAACATGCCGTCTAAGTAGAAGTAAAATTAAATAAAGGAGTGTCTTGGCAAGTTCCAGACAGGTTTCTTAACCCCTTTTTCCACTCAGTTTCTTGCCCTTAAATCCTATTATATTCAGTCTTATTACAAGAACAATCTTGTAACTGTGATATTGTCTGTATTTTATCCTTGAGAAAACCAAGGCATTGAAAATAAGATGTCTTGCTCTGAGATGAAAACTAGCCAGAGTTCCTAATTGGTTCTTCTGAGTCCACATCCCGCTCTGTGCCGATTTCTGTCTGACTTTGGAATAATTACGGGCATTTACTTTATGGGAATCTTTTGGATTCATCCTGCCAAGTAAGGGATCTAGTTTATTTGAGTTTGTAGAATTTGTGGGTGTGTCCATGTTATTTTAGAATAGTGGAGAAAACCTTTGGTGCTTAATCCCAGTTTCGGATAGATAAAGAGGCACACTTTCCTGGGGGTGGGGGGGACTTGGAGGAATGGTGGTTATAAGATAGATTTGCACTCCTGAAAACGAAAGACACTGCCTCTTCTTAAGTGAGCACTGGTGTACTGAGTATTTGCATTTCTCACAAACTAATAGGTAAATTCATTTGCTCACTGTTCAGGCTTCCTGGACTTGGATGACGTGGGTGAGTTTCTTTCCCTCAGGATCTGGACAGATCAGTGAGGTTTCTAACCCACGGAATGCCACCATATGCTACCCCAAAGCCTTTCCTGATCCTCAGCCTAATTCCTACATCCTTGCAGAGGGCACTCATCTACAGCCATCTCTGGTTTTAATGATGGATGTGATAAATGCCAAAGGACTCTGCCACTGAGATGTGAAAATGCTTGTTTCCCAGCCCTTGTTCACTCCTAAACAAGTGTTATATGACTCCCCTACTAGATTATAAATACCTTAAGGACTCTGTCTTACTGTGTTTTGTGCCCACGGGGTTTGCCTTGCACATAGTAGGTACTTACTTGATGTTTACTGAGCTGACCTATACTTTTTCAATACAAAGAAAAGTGGGACAGTTTAAAATAATATGTAGGCCAGCCTGGCACACTGACTCAGATAGACATGACTGCTTCCCAAGGATTTATTTCTTCGGTGAAAAGGGGGAGGAAATAATGCATATTGGGCCTAATGTAGATAAAGCAGAGACACCAACACATAGGTGCTTAATATCCTCCCTATTTTTATTTTCAGTAGGCATTTGTAAATACCAGCATCTCCTAGGGACTGGGCTCCCAGCTTTGCCAGCCTCCCATTAGTTTTGACACCAACAGACTGCCTTCCAACTTAGGCAGTTCCTCTTGGAGGTTGTTGGAACAAGAAACAGTGGAGCCAACATCAGCCTGTTTAAGATGAAGACTTGTCAGGGTGGAATGCAACAGGATAGGGGCCATCAAGAAGGGTTGTAGGGGAAGACCGTTGGGAGGTCCTAAAGAAAGGGTGTGTTGACACTGCCTTTGGGAATTTGGGGGAAGCATGCGGAAACCCTTAAGCATTCTCCTCCCCTTCTCCACCCTCAGGCCTTCTCGTGGGTACCCTTGATGTCGTGCTGGACTCCAGTGCTCGGGTGGCTCCTTACCGAATCCTGTACCAGACTCCAGACTCTTTGGTCTATTGGACCATCGCCTGTGGTAAGTAGCCATATTCAGAAGAATGGAGAAACCGTATGATTAACAACTTTCTGCCAGAAGGGAAGGAACCTTTGTTTGGGAATACAGTTGCTTGGTATTTTAGGGTAATTAAACATAGCCACTTCAGCAGGTGAACTCCAAATCTTAATGGCTTAACATGGTAAAGGTTTTTTTCTCACTCTGGCAAAGTCTCCTTTGGGTCCTGTGGTCTTCTCCATCTATCATGAGACAAAGCCTCTATGGGAGGACAACTTAGACGGGAAAAGTAGGAGATAGAGACACACCCATGTTTTTTTCCCAGAGTGTTCTAATTAAAAAAAAAAAAATTTTTTTTTATTAACATATAATGTATTATTTCAGGGGTACAGGTCTATGAATCATCAGTCTTTTTTTTTTTTCCTTAAAGATTTTATTTATTTACTTGAGAGTGAGAGAGAGAGCCTGAGAGGGGAGAAGTTCAGAGGGAGAAGCAGAATCCCTGCTGAGCAGGAAGCCTAATGTTGGACTGGATCCTGCGACCCCAGGATCATGACCTGAGCTGAAGGCAGTCGCTTAACCAGCTGAACCACCCAGGCACCCATGAATCATCAATCTTACACAATTCACAGCACTCACCATAGCACATACCCTGCCCAATGTCCATCACCCCGCCACCCTATCCCTCCTCCCAACCCCATCCAGCAGCCCTCAGTTTGTTTCCTGAGATTAAGAGTCTCTTATGGGGGGCTGCCTGGGTGGCTCAGTGGGTTAAGCTTCTGCCTTCAGCTCAGGTCATGATCTCAGGGTCCTGGGATCAAGTCCCACATCGGGCTCTCTGCTAGGCAGTGAACCTGCTTCCTCCTCTCTCTCTCTCTCTCTCTCTCTCTCTCTACTTGTGATCTCTCTCTGTCAAATAAATAAAATCTTTAAAAAAAAAAAAAGAAGAAAAAAGAAAAAAAAAAAAGAGTCTCTTATGGTTTGTCTCCCTCCCTGGTCCCCTCTTCTTTCTTTTTCCCTCCCTTTTCCCCCATGAGCCCTCTGCCTCAAATTCCTCATATCAGATCATATGATAATTGTCTTTCTCCGATTGACGTATTTCGCTCAGCATAATGCCCTCTAGTTCCATCCATGTTGTTGCAAATGGCAAGATTTCATCTTTTGATGGCTGCATAGTATTCCATTGTATCTATATACCAAATTTGCTTTATCCATTCATGTGTTGATGGACATCTAGGTTCTTTCCATAGTTTGGCTATTGTGGACATTGCTGCTCTAAACACTGGGGGAGGCACACCCACATTTAAGTCCCTAGGCCCAGACGTGTCACATACCACTCATACTATGTTGACGAGAACCAGTCACATGACCCCCAACTTAACTCCATGGGCAGTTGGGAAATGAAGAGGAACATGGGGACTTCTTGGGCATCCTCAGTAATACTTACATATCCAAGCACAGTACTTCCTACTTGAGTAGGGATCTTTTTTTTTCTCTGATCATAATCTATAATAATGTCCTGTGTTTAAAATGGTGGTCAGCAGCCCTGCCATTCATTATTGGATCTCTCACAAGGATTTTTAATCCAAAGTGGCCAAGATTTTTTTAGTTATTTGTTTTTAGTTATTTTTTAAGTTATTTTTAGTTATTTGCTTTTAGTTATTTAGCTTTGCATATAACTATAGAAAAAGCAAGGGCACCAAGCATTTAATTTTTTACATTTTTTCACCTCCACTTGATTTTTAAAAAATTATTATTAATAGACTTTATTTTTTACAACAGTTTAGATTTATAGAAAAGTTGGGCAGATAGTCCAGAGACCTCCCATCTACCCTCCATATACAGTGTCCCTTATTATTAACATCTTAGTATGTTTTAGTTAATGAACCCATATAAATACACTATCACTTTTTTTAAAAAAATATTTATTTGACAGAGAGAGAGGGAACACAAGCAGGGGTAGCAGCAGGCAGAGGGAGAGGGAGAAGCAGGCTCCCTGCTGAGTAAGGAACCTGATATGGGAGTAGATCCCAGGACCCTGGGATCATGACCTGAACTGAAGGCAGACGCCTAACTGACTTAGCCACCCAGGCTCCCCTTGATACACTATTATTAAACAAAAGCCACGGTTTATTTAAATTTCACCTAATATCCTTTTTCTGTTCCAAGATCCTATCCAGGATACTATATTATATTTCGTTGTCATGTCTCTTCAGGCTCTTCTTGGCTGTGGAAGTTTCTCAGGCTTTCCTTGTCTTGGATGACCCTGCCAGGTTTGAAGGAAGTTACTAGCCAGGTATATTGTAGAATTTCCCTCTATTGGAATTTGATGTTTTTCTCATGATTAGGCAAAGATTTTTCTTGAAGGAGATCACAGAGATAAAGTGCTATTTTTATCAAATTGTGTCAAGCAAGCGTACATATTGTTAATTTATGACTAATGAGGTTTTCCTCAATCACCCAGCTGAAGTAGTATTTTTTGGGTTCCTCCACTATTATGTAACTATTTTCTTCCCCTTTCCATGCTGTTACTCTCCGGAAGTAACTATGCACAGCCCACCCTTAAGGAGTGAGGAGTTTTAATTTATTCAATTATTTTTATCAGTATGGAATAATGCATATTGATTTTATACTTTGGAGGAGTCCAATGCTACTTTATTTTGTTGCTCAAATCATTCCAGCTTTGGCCATTGGGAGCTCTTTCAGTTGACTTTGCTCAGTCTTTAAATTGATCTCTGCTCGGTGGGAAGTGCTGTGCTAGGATCTAAAGATATAACGATAATTAGATCCGGTCTCTGCTCTTGAGAACATAAGTAAATATTCAATTATAGCCCAGAGTGAACCAGTACCTTGCAGTGCCAGCTGATCCCAGGGTGCCCAGCTAAATGCAAGAATCTCAGCTGGCCTTTTACATAGGTAGGAGAGGTTATCTGGGTGTGATTTCCAGCTGCCAGAAGGTCCTGGAGTGTGCCCCCAAGGATTTAATGGTACCTGAAATTCTGACATTGTAGTGTTGTATCCCTTTCAAGTTCTTCTGGTTAAGATGCAAACAGCCCCATAAGAAATGATGGAATATATGTATCAGTCATTTATGCAATCTGGCGAATGAAGGAATGGCATCAGGGTGCAGGGCATGGAGAAAACCACCTAGGAGTGAAGGGTGGGGATTGGAGCGAGACGAAGGAGATCAAGGTTAAAGGAAGAGGAAAGCTGGAACTCTGAAGAAGACAGGCTTACCGAACCACGCAGGCTCCTCTAAGCCAGCACTCCATGGCCATTCACTCAATACACAGGACCCAATAGCTACCTTAGAGGGAGAAGTACCCTGGGGTGGTTGGTGGAGAAAGGGTCACACTTAGTCCATGAACATTCTAGAATGTGTTAAAATAGACACTGTAGCCAGCAAGTGAAGAAGTAAAAAGAAAGGGAATTAGAAATCAGGCAGAGCCCCTTAACCACTTGACTTAACACGGGTATGACTAGACACTCTGACACATTCTGTCTCACCTTCCAGCCTGTCTGTTACTTGTGTCCAGAGGGTTTTGAGATCTTTGGAGCCTGGAGCTCCTTAAAGCTCTCTTCTCTCTCCTTACAGCAATTCTAGGAGCGGGACCTTGCCAGTCAGCGTATCTTTGCATTGCTGGTTGTGTCACTGTGACTTCTTCTTCTTCTTTTTTTAAAAGATTTTATTTATTTATTTGACAGACAGAGATCACAAGTTGGCAGAGAGGAAGGCAGAGAGGGAGGGGGAAGCAGGTTCCCTGCTGAGCAGAGAGCCCGATGTGGGGCTCGATCCCAGGACCTTGAGATTCATGACCTGAGCCAAAGGCAGAGGCTTTAACCACTGAGCCACCCAGGCACTCCTGGGTGTCACTGTGACTTCTATTCCTCCCCCGTCGGCCCTAACCTTTCCTTCTTCCCTGTAACCTGACATCACTACTCCTCAGTTAGTTTCTGGGGCATTGCCACTCTCTGATGCAGATGCTCCTGTGAACGCTCGTGTAGGAAAGAGCCCAGAGTTACAAAGCTGAATTATTCTTGAGTTATTTGCCAAGCCAAGGCTAAAAAACACAAGGCAGGAGATGCTGATGGCATAATTTATACCACGAAGAGGTGTACTTTCATTTTCCCAGTAAATAATGCCTGTCACAATGGCATGATCTCATTATAATAAGCCCAGAACTGTTTTAGCTTTTGTATATATTGATTACCCATAGAGTTACCTGCAAAATTTCCTTGTGGAAGACTCCACGGAAGTGACAACCAGCGTGAAGTTCCCATTCACCCATTAGTCCTTCTTATCGATTTCCATTTAAAACCTAAATTGCTGGCTCCCTTTCAGGGGAGGATTTTAAGAGCGGAAGCTGCCAGCTTTCAGATTTCTCTGATATGCTGACCTTTCCGTTTGTAATTTTAATTTTTTTTTTTATAAACTACAAAGTTAGTATTTGGTGGCAGTGTGTCAAGAACTTTTTAATCTGCTTGACTTTCATGAATCTTTGCCGTAGAGAATTGTCAGCAGAGAACCGGGTGAGTCTAACTCACTGCCTTGTGGAAGTTATGGGATTGCGAAATATTGGTGTGCGCGATACTCGTGAATCCGCACCTGGTCAGCAGGATTCAAGGGAGCACCTTGCAGCGGTGTCTGCACGTAGACCACTTTCTGTAGAAGAGCAGTGGGGAATCCTAGTTGTTTTACTTGACTTAGACTTGAGCCACAAAGAGCCAGGTTGGAGGGGGGGTCTTCTGCATCGAGTCTCACTTCCTCTCAATAGAGCGGTCAGTCACCTGGCCCTTGGCAATCATGTGATCCATACAGAAAGAAGACTGGGGAAAAAAAGCAAGAGTTATTTGGTGGAACATTATGAACATTATTTTCATATGCTGCTTCTAATCTAATGGCTGTATCCAGATTGGTTTGATTTTTTTTTTTTTTAACTTCTCCTTGGCATTGAGTCCTTTCATTGGGAGAGGAAGCCAAAAACATTCCCAAGTAATGACTGTTTCTTTTCACTACTACCCAA